CTTGTTGCCCAGGCTGGAGTGCAATGGCGTGGTCTCAGCTCACCACAACCTCCACCTCCCAGGTTCAAGCGATTCTCCTGCCTCAGCCTCCCAAGTAGCTGGGATTACAGGCATGCGCCACCACGCCCATCTAATTTTGCATGTTTAGTAGAGACGGGGTTTCTCCATGTTGGTTAGGCTGGTCTTGAACTCCTGACCTCAGGTGATCTGCCAGCCTCAGCCTCCCAAAGTGCTGTGATAACAGGCGTGAGCCACCACGTCTACCCTTTTTTTTTCTTTACTTTTTTAAGACAGAATCTTGCTCTGTCACCAGGCTGGAGTGCAGTGGCGCAATCTCGGCTCACTGCAACCTCCACCTCCTAGGTTCAAGCGATTCCCCTGCCCTAGCCTACCAAGTAGCTGGGACTACAGGTGCCCACCACCACACCCAGCTAATTTTTTGTATTTTAGTAGAGACAGGGTTTCATCATGTTGATCAGGATGGTCTTGATCTCCTGACCTCGTGATTGACCCACCTCAGCCTCCCAAAGTGCTGGGACTACAGGCATGAGCCACCGCACCTGGCCAATGACCTGAGCCCCAAGCTGACCTTTTTGCTCTCCCTGGGTACCAAGGTGACCTCTGATCCTTTGGGCCCCTAGGTGACCCTTGACCCCCACCTCCAACATGACCAATGTTGCCTTCACAGCCATGGGCTCACAACTCACTTTGCCAAAGGATCCCTGGCCCAGAACCTTGAGGAGCTCGAAATGGGATGGATCAGCCTTCTCAGAGCCAGCCTTGACGTGGTGCGTGATGGAGATCTCCTTGAGGACGCCCTCATCCTGATGGAGGGATAGAGCTGGTGGGCACAGTGGGCCCCATCTGGGCAGCAGGAGGCAACCCCCCCCCGCCCAAGTCCCTTCCCACCAGACCGCAGCAGATGGGACCTAAAGGCCCAACAGATGACTTCCCTGAAGGGCTAGCCTCCAGGGACATCAATTTCAAAAGGGCCTCAAAGGTTGGTGAGGTCAAACCAGAACAGGCACCGCTCCTATTGCTCCTGATGCTCTGGACTGGTTAGGCCCAAAGGGATGCCCAGGCATGGCCAGGCTCAGCCAACATGACTCTGGCTGAGACCCAGAGACCTGTCCCAGGTCTGCCTGTGGGGCTTCCCTCCCCCTGCTGTTTTAGTTTTGCCACAATAGGAAGTAGGTTTGTTCTCATATGGGGAGGTAGAGCTGGGCCTTCATTCCTGGTCAGGATGGGATGAGGGATCCCTCTGGTCAGTAGGACAGGGCTGAGGAGCACAAAGACCCAAGAGTCACCCAAACTCCCCCATCGACTCAGTCAGTGCTGGCCTGGGGCAGGTCAGAGTTAAGGCTGGAGACTCCATGGCTTATCTTCCCAAACTTCCCTCCTACAAACCTACTAGAAGTGCCTTGCCAGAGACTCACCGTTCCAGGACTCTACCCTCCCTCCAATCTGCTGGTATTGCTTTGAAGCCCTCAACTGCCTCCTCACCTCCTCAGGAAGCAAGTCTGGGCAGGGTCCAGTTACCCCCGGCAGGACCAGGACAGACCAAAGCCAACTTGCACTAAGCTAACTTCCCAGGCACCTGCTGTGAGGGACACAGCCAGGCCAGGACCAGACATCCGGGCACACTCACCAAGTCCTGCTGGGAGCCAGAGCCAGGGCCAGGGACAGGCAGAGAGGTCTGGCTGATCCTGGGCCGGTGCTTCCTGGGCAGCCAGGGGAGCAGGGCCCAGAGCCGCAGACGGGGCGGCTTGGGATCCTGCTCCATCCGCCCAGCAGGGCCGCAGCACCATGGCAGGAGCAGGCAGCGTCCGGGGCTGCCGCGGAGGTGGCCGGGACCAAGGCGGATGTGCAGGGTAAGGGCGGAGGCTGGGCCCGGCCCAGGGCAGCCAATCACTCAGGGTCTGTGGTTTCCCAGCTCCAGGCCTACACCCTCAACACGTTCCCTTCCTCTCTCCCCCCTCCCCAGTGCCTGAGGGCTGCCCTCTGGCCATTCCCCCATCCTCCTTTTGCAGGGGCCTGCAAAGGGAAAGCCCCCTGCCAATGCAGCTGCTGAGCAGACAGGTACCCAACAGCAGACAGGTGTGGAAACAGATAAGAATGGCATCTAATAGTCAGGGGCAGGGGAGAACACATATCCAACAGGCAGGGATGGATAAGGATACCTATCCAATAGGCAGAGGCAGGAGAAATTCATATCCGATAGAAAACAGATGGAGACATGTACCCAACAAGAAGCAGCAGGAAGGGACTCATATCTAACAGACAGAGGTGGACAGAAGCTCATCCCCAATGTGTGTAGGCAGACAGGGACACAAATCCAACAGGCAGAGACAGAAAGGGACATGTACCCAACAGCCAGAGACAGACGGGGACATGACGGGGACATGTACCCAACAGGCAAAGACAGAAGGGGACATAAACCCAACAGGCAATGACAGAAGGGGACATGTATCCAACAGCACAGAGACAGATGGTGACATGAACCCAACAGACAGAGACAGAAGGGGACACGAACCCAACAGACAGAGACAGAAGGGGACACGAACCCAACAGGCAATGACAGAAGGGGACATAAACCCAACAGGCAGAGACAGAAGGGGACAGGTACCAAACAGGTAGAGGCAGAGGGAACATGTATCCAATAGGCAGAGACAGATGAAGACATGAACCCAACAGGCAGAGACAGAAGGGGACATGAACAACAGGCACCTAACATGTGACATGTGCCCAACAGGTGAAGGCAGGTACTTATCATGTGGAGACAGAGATTGGAACCCAACAACAGACACAAATAGGCAGCAAAGAGAAACCGCCGGAGTCAGTGAGGCCCAAGTAGACTGGCAGACACCTAGGGCAGATAGGTCTGACACCCGGCAGACACACAGGCAGGCAGCAGGGCAGGGATCCCCAGGAAGGGGTTAAGCGTGGAACTGTGGGTTCTTGTTGCTGTACCTGGGGTGGGGAAAGAGAGGAAGGGACACAGTCTGCAAACTCAAGAGAGCAGTCTGATATTTCTTGGAGACCCACCTCTGAGGCTGTTCGTTTCCCTAGGATTTTCCTCCTATGCCAGGACCTGAGGGGGTCCAGATAGTGGCTGAGAGGACCATCCCCTGAGTGCAATCTGATATATTTAACTCTGACCATATCCTAAAATCTGTTATCCTCATTCCAGGAACAGGAAACTGAGGCCCAGAAGACAGTGACTCACCAAGGCTCAAAGCAAACAGTGGCAGAGACAGCTTGGACCCAAGCACCTCCCCTGCTTCTGCCCGGCATGTGGTCAGCAGGCATCAAGTGCCAGGAAAGGGTGGGCAGGTAAGTCACCCAGAGCCACATCCTGCCATCACATCTGCCCAAAACCCCTCTTCCTTCAGCACTACGGTCCATCTGGGACCCTCCACTCTAGGTCCTGGCCCTTGGAGACACAATCTTATCTCAGGAGAAGATACCTAACCCTCTCAGATGGAGGTGTGGGTGGAACAACCTCACAAAAAAACCAGAAAGCTGCAGTCAAATCAGATCCCTGAGTGTAACCTTCTGGTGAGACAGGCAGAAAGCCTGGCTCAGAGAGGGACTGAGAGGGGCCAAGGCCACACAGCAATACCTGCACACCCCACCCTGAGATCTGAGCCCCACCTCATCTGCCTGCCCCTGACTGAGAACACTCCCTGGGGACAGAGGCAGGAAACCACCCGGAAACCCCAGGGGACAGAGCCGCCCCCAAACCCATTCCTTGCCCAGAGTCACAGTGACAGACACTGCTGGAGACAGACCACTCTTCTGCTCACCTTTCTGGGACAGGAAACCAAGTCTCTCTCAACCCTGGCGAAATCTGCCGGGGTCTGCATGGTAGGGCTCAAGCCAGTGGCCACAGGGCCCCGTTACTCCTCTTACTTCTGCTTTTTTTTTTAGCCTTCCTGGCCCAGAAGGCAGGGTCCCTGGCCCCCCTCCTTCTCACTTCCCTCTGCAGGGAGGAGGGACAGAAGATGGGTCAGGCTCCTCTGCAGAAGAGAGGACACCGCAGACCCTAAGCCCATGAGCCCAGGGCAGGCCTAGGGGCATGCTCCTCCCTATGTCCTCTGACTCTAAGGAGGAGAGACAAGAGCAGAGACAGAGGTCACAAGGTGATAAGGCAGTGACACAGTGAGCATCTCAGCACCCGCAAACATCCATGGTGGGGGGCCTGAGAGAACGTGGGGCAAAAGTCAGCAAAGGCTACTGTCTGACTGTCCAGCCCAGAGCTTAGATACTACATCCCCCATAGCATCCTTCCCTGGCTAGGCCCGCCCAGAATGGCAGCTGAGAAAGCAGGCACCAATGTACCGGGTCCTGCCCTGCTCAGCTGCCCTGAAGAAGGCTGCCAGTACCAAGCCCCAGGATGGGCAAGGTGGGCAGAAAGCCCGACCAAGAACCTCTCAGAGGTCTGAGAGGAGCAGGAGGCCGCTATGGGGCAGGGGTTGACCAGGCCCAGCCCCTTTCCACGTGGCCTCACTTCATCACTCACACAAGTACGGCACAGGAACTGACACGCACACAAACACACACTCAAGCTGATGATCGGAAACCCTGTCCACAGACAACCCTATGCAGAAATACGCACCCCCACGCCCCCACGGACTTCCCCTTCCCTGTCCTTGCAGAGTCTTTGCGGGTGGATGTTGCTGGGAGATTGTGAAAGACGCCTCCCTCAGGCCAAGCCTCTCATTGCTCTCCAGCTTCCTCTGACCAGTTTGGAGGCTGGGGCAGCCCTCGGAGCCCCAAAGCTCACCGTCCCTACCAACCCCTGGTCCCTCAGATGCAAAGAAAGAAGGTAGAGAGGTAGCTACTTTGTGGAAGGAGATTCTCCAGTCACAGGCAAAGATACACCAGGAGCCCGGTGCACACTGGCCTCTGTGGCCAGCAGGGTACCAGAAGGGGGCAACAGGAAGGAAACGGTCTCAGAACTGCCTTTGCTGAAGGCTATGTGGGCCATGAGGCCTCTGGTGGTGGGAGGGGGGAGGACAGCCACCAGCCCACATCCCTTGGTCCCTGCCCCATCCCCCTATAGGCACTTCCTCTTTATTTACTTCCTCCTACAGGGCAGCTGGAAGAGAAGCTCAGAGTCCCCCAGCCTGATCCCTGGTCTCCAGGGTCCCCACCCTGCCAGCTGTAGCCAAGCCCACCTGCTAATCCTGGCCCTGAAGGACACCAACAGCCCCTTCCCCAGCTGGCAGCAATTGCAGGGCCCTCCCTCAGGTGGGACAGATGTCCTCCATGCATCTCCCAGCATGCCCCCAGGCAGGTGAGGAGGGGTCCACAGCTCCCTGGCAGCCTTGAGGGGGAGCCGGCCTCCCACAATAGGTCAGGACTCACATGGAGACATGCTAGCAAGTGTGCCTCCTACTGATCGAGCAGTTACTGCATACAGCCTTTGTTTTTTTTTTGAGAGGGAGTTTCACTCTTGTCACCCACGCTGGAGTACAGTGGCGCGATCTCAGCTTATTGTAGCCTCTACGTCCCAGGCTCAAGTGGTTCTTGTGCCTCAGCCTCCAGAGTAGCTGAGACTACAGGCGCACTCCACAATACCTGGCTAATTTTTCTGTATTTTAGCAGAGACAAGGTTTCACCATGTTGCCCAGGGTGGTCTTGAACTCCTGAGCTCAGGTGATCCACCCACCTTGCCTCCCAAAGTGCTGGGATTATAGACGTAAGCCACTGTGCCTGGCTTTTTTTTTTTTTTTTTTTAAAGTCTCTCTCTGTCGCCCAGGCTGGACTGCAGTGGTACAATCATGGTTCACTGCAGCCTCTTGGGCTCGAGTGATCCTCCCACCTCAGCCTCTGGAGTAAGCTTGGGAGGACAAGTGTGCACCACCACATCTAGCTAATTTTTAAAAAAAAATTTTGTAGAGGCTGGGTCTCCCTGTGTTGCCCAGGCTGGTGCTGAACTCCTGGGCATGGTGGCATGCACCTGTAGTCCCAGCTACTCTGGTAGCTAAGGCAGGAGGATCACTTGAGCCTAGAAGGTCAAGGCTACAGTGAGCTGTGGTTGCGCTACTGTAGTCCAGCCTGGGCAACAGAGGGAGGCCCTGTCTGAAAACAAAACCAACCCAAAAAACCGCAACTATCCTGAGACATCCATAATTAAGGTGCTGTGGGTGTCCAGAGGTGGTGACTATCTGCCAGTGGGTGAGGTCAGGAAAGACCTTCCAGAGCGAGGCAGCCCACCTGGGTCCTGAGGATGAACAGGTATTGGCCAGGCAGAAAGGAGGAAAAAAGAAACTCTACGTAGAGAAAGACCTGTGTGAGCAAGGGGCTTATGGCCAGGAGGGTAGGGTGGGAAGTCAGAAGAACTGGCCACTCACTAGCTGAGTGCTCAGGGCAAATCTCTTTCCCTGTCTGAACCTCAGTTTCCTCCTCTGTAAAATGAATGTTAGAACAATATGCTCCACTCTCAGATTGTTTCTAAAAGCAAAATGGCCACAGAGATAAGGGGATGTTGGAAACACAACTTCTCCCAGGTTTACTTGATAGTCTTACTGCTGTGGGGTCTCCCCTGGACAGGCTGAAGGGACAGAGCCCAGCCACAGGGCCCCAGGTACTAGGAGTGTGGCCAGCCTTCTCTGGCCAGGCCAAGGGAAGTTCCTCTCAACACCTGAGGCTGCCCGAGGCTCCCTGAAGTCCACAGTCACATGCTGCCTAAGCTCTGGCCAGGGGAGCATGAGGGATCCGGGAGGGATCAGGGTTTCATAAACAGGAAGAGAGGAGGGGAGGGGAGATGCTCAGCTCTCAAAATAGACCTGCAGGCACTACAAAGGGGTCCAGCTCCGGAGATAGCTGGGGGAGGGGGTCTGGGATGCCCAGTCCACTCCCAGGAAGGGAGGGAGGGCAAATGGAGCCCTGGTGTGCCTGAGGGTACCAGATACACCTAGGTGCTGAGGGGATCCAGAGAGTTCTCACCCTGGAGGCTGTCCACACTACCGCTCCTAAAACCCAAATCCCAAATCCCAAATCCTGCCTTCTGCCTGAAATGAATAAAATAAGCAAGCATTAAACAGCAATATTGTGCCATAAGCCCTGTTAGATACTTTAATTTATATACACCACATTCTCTTTTCCAGGTGGCCCTGAGAAGTAGGTGTTATTCTCTTTTAATTTTTCAGGAAAGAACCCAAGCCTCAGCAGGGCAAGTGACTTATCCAAGGTTACAAGGCAAACAAAAAACACGTGCAGGATTCTGGACTCAGAATCCCTGACTCCCTTCCCTACCCCTTTTCCACCTGGAAGGCCCAATTCTTTCTCCAGCTGCCCAAATCCTGCCCTTCGAGGCCCAGCCAAATGCCAGCTCTACAGGGAACGTGGCCTGTGCCCTAGAGCCTATCCCAACTCTTCTTCCTCTGCCATGCACAGCAATGACCACGTCTCTGGTCCACACTTAGCCCTGAACTCAGATGCCATAAGCTGGGTTTCCTGGGAACATGCTCATCTCATCAGGCTAGAGAGAAATATGGGCACCTGGAAGGTGGTGGTATATGTCTCTGCCCAACACAGGGCATGGCACAGAGCAGAGTTTCTGTGTGCCCACAGCTGTGCTCTTGCCCCATCACAGCACCTACCACATGGCTTTCCTGTCTCCACCCTCTGCCCAAAGATTGGGAATTCCTGGAGAGTGGGGGATGCTGACTTCATTTTAGGCCCTCCTGTGTACAACAGTGTACACCGAATGTCTGATTAAGGATAACGTGGCCCATTGCCAGCTCATTCCACTGCACAAAGTGATGAGGTCCAGATCACACATTGAGCGCCCCCTGGTGTATTAAGCCCAGAAGTGGGCATTAGGGACACTGACAGCTGGGGCGACAGACGGATGAGCAGGTGCCCAGGACTGGTACCCCTTCGGATCACAAAAAGCCAACGTTCCTCCTCTTCAGCACTCAGGATTCTCTGGACTGAGAAATGACCCTGAAGCCAAACAAGACTTGACTTTATTGCCCACCAGCTATGTGATGTCCAACCTCAACTTTCTCATCTGTAAAACGGGAATAGTAACAATCTACCGCTGAGGATGTAGTGACAACTAAATGGAAAGCCCCTGGTGTGACGCCAGGCATAGGTTAAGTTCTTTCTCTTCCTTAAGTGGCATTCGAGATTCCCTGTCCCATCCATCTCCAGCCCTGTCTCCCTTCTCACCCCAGGATCTTCTGCTCTACAGCAAGAGTCACAGGCTTGGAAGCAAAAGGTTACCTGCCTGGGAAACTCCTGCCATTTCCCAATCAGCCCCTCTAGTTCTTGAGGTGAGAAGCTGTACTCAGCACAGGTCCCTAAATGCTGAAGTTCCTCTGCAACCCCAAGAACCTCAGCCCCGAGATCTGAACACCATGTTTCTTCACTTGGAACCTACAGCTTCTTCATTTTGTTACTAGGCAACAAGAGGTAGCTACTTTGTGGGAGGAGATTCTCCAGACACGGGCTGAGATAAACCAAAGGGCCCAGTCCGCACTATTTACTGGCCTCTGCTGGTCCAAGGTTGCCACAGTAACCCACAGAGAAGTGGGTGGGAGCCTACTTCTCTCACTTGCCCTACCCTTCCCAGCTCAGTCACTTCATCGTAGGAAGCTGAGCCAAGGTAAACATCAGGACTAATCCTGAATCCATCCCAAAGGTCAAGCTTATGGCAGGTCTGGTGCTCAAGCCAACCCAGGCCTGGAAGGTGGAGCCACTGACAGAGAGCTGAGCTGAGCAATACTCAGCATTCACGGTGCTGGTGCTGAAGCTGCTGTGTGCCAGGCAGTTACTACCTCGTCATTCTTCACATTGCTCCTGTGAGACAGGCACTGTTTCCCCAACTTACAGCTCAGGAAACTGAGACTCAGAAGAGAGAAGAGCTTCTGGTTAAATGGTGGGAATGGAGCCAGGACTGGAACCCAGATTTGCTCTAACACCAAAGTCCATGCTCTGTCCCTGCCTTGGCAGCTTCCAAAGGCTCTACACAGTCAGCATCTCCTGTGACCCCACAGCCACTCTGTGAAGGGGATGTGGTCTTTTCCAATATAGAGATGAGAAAGCCAAGGCCCAGAGGGTACAAGGAACCTCCAAGGTCACATTGCTGTCACCTAGTCCCTGGTGCTTTTGGCAGCACACAAAGCCAGGAACAGGGGCTAAGCGGCTGCAGGAAGGGGCCCAGAGGAAGCAGAGATAGCAGGAGTGAGGGAATGAGCCTCAGACTGGGAAGTGGAAGCTCTAAGAAATGGCATGAGTGCCACATGCCAGACAATGGGCCTGGTGAGTCTTGAGAGCCCACCAGCATCCCCTTTCCAGCTCACATGCCCAGATGCTCACTTCCAGGCACCTGGCAAGTACAGCTCTACCAAAAGGAGCATCGCAGCTGGCCTGAGCCCCTCCCATTGCTCCTTAGAGCCAGCCCAAATTCTGTGAGTAAATAAACCACAGGGGCATCCTGGCCTCTGTGATAGGGAACCAGAGCCTGGTCTAGATTCTGCTCCTGACCCTTTCTGGGCCACAGTCATCTCACCTATAAAATAGGAAGGTTGAAACAAGTGATTTCTTTCTTTTTTTTTCTGTCACCCAGGCTGGAGTGCAGTGGTGCGATCTCCGTTCACTGAAACCTCCGCCTTCTGGGTTCAAGCAATTCTCCTGTTTCAGTCTCCCAAGTAGCTGGGACTACAGGTGCCCGTCACCACACCTGGCTAATTTTTTTTTTTTGTATTTTTAGTAGAGATTAGAGACAGGGTCTCACTATATTGGCCAGGCTGTTCTCAAACTCCTGACCTCGTGATCCGCCTGCCTCGGCCTCCCAAAGTGCTGGGATTACAGGCATGAGCCACCATGCCCAGCCGGAACAAGTGATTTCTATACCCAGGGTTGCCACAAGGATTTGGTGGGCCCTGAGAAGGACGGCTGAGCTGGGCAAAGGGGCCAGAGGCTGGGGCCCTCAACTTCCTCCAAGGCCATGCAAACAGGACCCTCCACAGCCCCTCGCCAGGGTACTGGCCCTGGTCCTCACCTTGGACAGCTGAAGTTCAGCTTCTTCCCCTGTGGTCTGTCCATTCTGGAAAAGAGAAAGGAGATTGGGGGAACACCGTCAGACTTCAACACGCTTGGGAGAAAGATAGACTGTGGGGTACCCCCACACTTAGTTGCTCCCAATAGCCGTGGAGGCCATGGCTGAGAGGCAGGAGTCCTGGGTGGGTCCCCTCCACCTCCACTTTCACGTGAGGGTGTAGGGACCAAGTATTCTGGCAATGGCCCCTCCTGACTCAGGCAGAACATTCTCAGGGGCCAGCATTCTGTCCCTCATGCTGTCTGCCTGGCAAACACTTAGTCTTTGAAGACTTAGTTCAAATGTCACCTCCTTCTAGGGAGAAGGGAACGATCATATGTGACTTCCAGCTCTGCCAGATACAAACCTTGTGCAAACTAGTCAACTGTGAGAGGACTCAGTTTCCCATCTGTAACATAGGGGTAGTTACACTGACTTCCCAGAGTTGCTGCAAGGGTAGAAACAGACGGAGTCTAGGAAGTGTGCAGCCCAGAGATGGTGGCTACCCTTGTCTTGCCCTACTCTGGGCCCCCTTCCCTAACCTGGACAGGCAGAATGACTGCTGCCTCCATTACTTCAGCCTTCATTGCACCACTTGGCACACTGCAGGGACTATTTACACACAGGCCTGCCTTTCCTAATGAACGGGGAGTCGCGGGAGGGCAGAGATGAGGGCTTGGTGCTAACAGCTGCTCTCTTCCGAGCCTTTGCCACATGGCAGGCACTGGGCTCAGTGCCTCACACCTGTGGCACCATTTAATCCTCACGACAGCCCTGGGAAGTAGACCCTAGCCCCATGTGGCAGAGGAGGAAACTGAGGCTCTGAGGTGATCCCCACTCACCAGTTGTGTGATGATGCCTACGGTCACACAGCTGGTGAGTGGGGATTTGAAATCTGATCCCAAATCCAGAGGTGCTCAAAAAATGTCAGCTGAAAAACAGCCCAGAGCCCCACTCTGGGCAGTCTCGCCTTTTCCAGCTTCCAGACTTGACTCTCAGGTGGTTATTAAATACCCTGGGGTGTATCAAACCCAGCCCCTCTGTTTCCTGTGTGATGTGAGGTGAGTCACCTACCCTATCTGGGCATTTGGAAGCTGAAAGAAATCACCCCACCCCTCCTGAAATGGGGAGAGTGTGGTGAGGCCGACGGGAGGTTCCCAACAGCTAGGAAGCCCCACTCTAGTTCAGGTCTGGACTTTGGAGCCAGGAGCTGGGTCCATGGGGCAGCTGCAGCCCTGCTTGGCAGCAGCAGGCACAGCTGTGCTCTACCCATTACATAATCTCCCTGCCCCTGGAGCAGCTAGCTCCCCATTGCCGCTCCCAGAACATCCTGCCCCCGAGCCCCTTTAATGCCCCTAATCTCTCCACAGGGGCCAAATGTTCTACAGGCCCCTCCATACACACATCCATATGCACACTGTCATCTCTCAGCAGCCTGGGGAGAAGGGCCCAGGGGCTGGGCTGGGGTAGGGATGCTTTTACAGAGTGAGCTCCACTTCACCTAGACTCGACATAATTCCTGCAGGTGATCATAACAGCCGACCACCAGCTCCCTGCCCCTCAGCCTTCCCCACTCCAAACCCTCATCATTCCTAAAATCAAGTGCAACTGCTGCACTCAACTCAGTCAACATTTGCTGAGAATCTTCTATATACCAGGCCCCAAGCCCTTCCATGGCCCCTTTGCCTGTAGAATAAAGTCCTAGCTCCTTAGCATAAAATTCAAGGTCATCATCTTAACACAATAACTAGCAATGTAGGTTTTGCAACCTAATCTTGTAGGTTCAAATTCTGGCTTCTACCACCTGCATGATCCCTAGAAGATTAGTTCATTTCTTGGGGCTTCAGTTTCCTCATCTGTGAAATGAGGATCAAAGTAACGTACCTCACTGGTGGTTGCAAGAAGCAAATGAAATAATGCCTATAAATATATACACTTGGCATGCAACTGGCCTAAAAACAATAGCCATTCTTATCATTGGGCCCTATTTTTGAGCTAGACTGAACAACCAGAGACCTTGAGAACAGTCTATTTCATATCCCCAGCATTTGTATGGAGGTTCCCTCTACCAAGAAAGGCTTTCCTGACTTGTCACTTTGGCAAAGTCCTGGTCTTTTATCAGGACTGAATTCAAATGTCACCCCTGTCCACACAGCCTCAAGTACCTTCCTCTCTCCTCTCTACCCCCATGGCACCAAGCACACTGCAGGTTAACTCGGGAAGGAGCCATGGTTTGTCCATCATCAACTCCTTGGCACCCAGCCAGATTCTGGCATGTGGTTTACCCAACGAAAGTTCAACCCAGCAAACAGAGTAAGAAGGCCAAAGCAGGTTCTGTTACTCCTATTTTTCAGATGAGGCTCAGAGAGTTAAGGGACTCACCCGAGGTCCCTCAGTAGGCAGGTGGCAGACATGTGACCATAACCCAAAGTCACATAGCTGCAAGCCTACTGAGGGAGGGGAGAAGGGGTTGGTGTACTCAGAGGTGTGAGTTTCTTAAGTAGTGACCTGGATGATTTAGGGGACCCCTTGGGCAGTCTGGCTGCCTCCATTCCCTGAATCTCTGGCTTGAGTATCATCTTTATGGAACTCCATACCTGTAAGAGCAGAGAAACAGGCAGCCCTGGAGAACAGACTGGTAGGGGTAGGAGGGTTGGGGGGTGCGGGCTTTCTGCTCAGAGCCTGGGTCCTGGGTCATCTGCCCCTCTGGCCTGACTGCTGCATAGGATGGTGGAAAGAACACAGCTGTGCAGCCAGAAAGATACAGTCACTAATCCTAGCTCTGCCAGCCACTTATTCTGCCCTTGGGTCTGTCATATCACTTTTTATTTTTATTTATTTATTTTTTGAGACTGAGTTTCAATCTTTTACCCAGGCTGGAGTGAAGTGGCGCCATCTAGGATCACTGCAACCTCCATCCCCCTTGCCCCCACCCCCCGGCCCTGGGTTCAAGCAATTCTCCTGCCTTGGCCGCCCAAGTAGCTGGGATTATAGGAGTGCACCACCACGCCTGGCTAATTTTGTATTTTTAGTAGAGACAGGGTTTCACCATATTGGCCCAGGTGGTCTCGAACTCCTGACCTCAGGTGATCCACCCTCCTCAGCCCCCCAAAGTGCTAGGATTACAGGCATGAGCCACCGTAACTGGCCTCATATCACTTTTTAAAGTCTCAGTTTTGGCCAGGCACGGTGGCTCACACCTGTAATCCCAGCATTTTGGGAGGCCAAGGTGGGCGAATCATGAGGTCAAGAGATTGAGACTATCCTGGCCAACATGGTGAAACCCCGTCTCTACTAAAAATACAAAAATTAGCTGGGTGTGGTGGCGTGCACCTGTAGTCCCAGCTACTCAGGAGGCTGAGGTAGTAGAATCGCTTGAACCCAGGAGATGGAGGTTGCAGTTAGCGAAGATCACGCCACTGCACTCCAGCCTGGTGACAGAGCGAGACTCCGTCTCAAAAAAAAAAATAAAGTCTCAGTTTCCTCATCTGTATCACGAGGGCAGGTGTGTCTTGCTGACATCTGCACCTTGTTGTTTGAAATAGTACTTATCACAGAGGTGCTAAATAAATGACTGAATGGGGACAGTGATGCTGACCTTGCAGAGTACTGAATGAAGGACCTTGTCTTAGGAGTACTTTGGCCATCTTAGAGGATAGAGACCCACCCTCCTCCCTTTTCCTCAGAGAGCACTGCTCATGAGGACAGATGCACAGGGCCACAGACCACTGCCCCCACTTCCTAGATGTCAGAAATGGGTTCCAACCAGCATCCTTCCTTCCCACCCAAGCAGCTCTGTCTTGGAAAGAGGGGCCCAGGGCAGCATCTGGAGAAGCTGGGCAGCAGATGGAGAAGGACAGCACGTGCCCCACAGGCAGGAAGCAGCCCCAGGAGCTGGGTTCTGAGCCCAGCATTGGCAGCTCTGCTCACTGCTGGAGGCTGGGGGCCAGGTGCCAGGGCCAGCTGGCACTGCCAGCCCTCGGCAAAGACTGGACAAGGGCCCTGCAGGATAAGACGAGTCTGCCAACATCCGGAGCCTCTCTTGGAGCACCTTCCACCTGGGCTTGCATGGCTCCAATCCTTCCCCATCTCTGAGCCTCTCTCCCACTTGGTGGAAGACAGAGAGAGATCTTGGTTCCAGTCCTGGCTCTGACATTAACACATATGCCTGAATTCAATTGTCCCATCTGAAAACGGAGGTAATAATCCCTACCTTGAGAAGCTGTTGTGAGAATTAAAGTGAGGTGACATTCATGAAGCAGAATGGATAGCACAGAGTAAAGCTCTGTATGTGGCAAAACTGGGCCTGGGGACAAGGCCACTGCCTTCAACAGGGCCAAGGAAGGCCCAGGCAGGATCCTCATCCACACTTCCCATAGACTACTCCACCAAGGCTGCACCCAGGCCAGGCCCTGCCTCCCAGCAGCCCATTTTCAGCAGCATGATGGGAGGGCAGGGCAGTTCAGATACTAGGTCTCTGAGAAAAGCCTCCCGCCAGCCTCTCACCTGCCTCCTTCCTAGCTAGGAGCTGCCAGCAGCAGTGGTGCCTATACATGCAGGTCAGGCGGCCATATCACTTACATGTCACCTGGGCTGAAAACAGCGAGGCCCTGTTCTCCAGTGAGAGCAACCCAACCTGCACTGTGCCTGCCCTGTGGCTCCTGTTACCCAAACAATCACACCCAGTCACCTGGCACCTCCAGGATTGCGGGGAGAGGGGACCAGACCATAGTACTCAGCACTCTGCACCCTGTCAGGCCCAGGAAGTGGAGGCTAGAACCTAGCACTTGCCACTGGAGAAGCAGAGGCCCAGACAGGCTGAAGACTGACTGAGGATCACGCAGCATTTCTGGGGCAAAACTCCTGAGGAAATCGCGTCCCCCTGCCCCACCAATCCCAGGAAGTCTGCTGGTCTTCACCCTCCCAGAGCTCAGGTGTTACAGAACTCAAAACTGAGATGAGTTTCCCAGTTAAACCTGGCCCACTGGTGAGGCTGGCCCCTGCTTCAGGATTCCCTAAGGAGAAGCAGGAAGTGGTGCCCTGGACCGAGGATCGAGCTTCTGGGTGTCCACCCTCCCTATCAGCATAAAGTCTCTCCCCAGCCTCTCCCAGTCCTACCTTCCCCTTTGGAGGCCCGGTCCCAGGGGCTTGCCTGGGCAAAGGAATCCACCTCTAAGCACCACCCCCAGGCCCTGGTGCCCAGTCCTAGTAGGGGGGTGGCAGTACAGGGGCTGCAGAGGGCAGTGTTCCTCACCTCAGAGGGTGAGTCAGCGAGAGAACCTGAGCAGCCTAGCAGTGCCTGTAAAATCCCCATGGCAGGAATCCCAGAGCAATTTACTCCAAATTGCGCCTTCAGGTTGGTTACCTAATCCTGCCGCGCCCACCCTCTGATAGCCGGTGTTGGCCATCCCTTTAAAGGGGCAGCACACCCTGGGGGCTGGGGACCTTGGGTGCTAACTCTGATCTTAGCCTGTGGTCCTGAGAGGCAGGACATGTGGTGGCTGCCCTAGGTAAGAGAAGGCAGAGGAGGGGACTGAGGCAGGAGTTCCAGGCCCAAGCTGGGAGAAAGTCATCTCAGTTCCTGGGCTCAAATGAGGTCTCCATTCCCTCCCTGCATCCCCCCAACAGCCACCTGGGAAGCAGAATATCACCTGCTGCCTTCCCAGCAAGAGGTTAAGGAGGAAGTTTTCCACAAGCTAGTTCAGAGCTTGACCTTGACTGTGGGGTCAAAAGGCACAGGAAGAGCTGGCTTTCTGCACACTTAGCGACTGGAGCCACAGAGCCCTCAAGGGAGGACAGGAGCTGCTTCTAGGAGAGAAGGAACTGGGTTGTCTGGGAAGTCTGGGCTGGCAGAAGCCAAACTCCCCAAAGGCCCAGCCCTTCCTACCGGAAGGGGCATAAGAGGAGAGGCAGGCACCAACGTCCCCCCACGCCCTGCCAAGAATCATCTTCACAAGGTCTAAGGGCTCTTTCCCACTCTCTTCTCCACAGCCCGGAGTAGGGGACACAGGTGTCCTCTGGCCCTGGCCTCAGGGCAAAGAAAACCAGGCGTTCCAGCCCCAGAAGGGTGGTGCCATCCCACATTCCACAACCGCCAAGGGTCAAGAGGGGCAATCCTTCCAGGCTCAGCAGCGGTGAAGCGAGAAGCAGGGATCTCTTGAGGGAGGTCCCCGGGAGAAGGTGGGGAGGGGTCCCATGACTCCTGTCTACGGTAGAAACCCAGACATCTGGCACTGAAGATTTCCAGGTCTGCACTAATGGAGGAAGCTCCGACAGCTCCAGACAGATGCTGGGACGAGTCCTAGGTACGGGGTGAAGTGAGAGCCAGATCTCAGCGCCCCATAGGATCCCTTCTCCTGGCTATGGCGGGGAGGTACTCGGCGCTTGGCGGAACTGTCCCTGGCACACGCACACCCAGGGCATAGGGGGGTGGAGCTGGACAGTGGGCAAGAGATCGGAGGGCACTCGCGCCCTCGCGGGCGCCCGCCAGGCTGCAGCAGCGCTTCGGGCCGCCCCGCCCCTGTGAGGATCCGGGCTAGCCGGCCGCGGGCGCCTGTCCCCCGCCCCGCTCACTCACCTCCGGGTCCAGCGGCACCAGCTCCATGAGCGGCCAGGGTTCCTTGAGCTGGGCGAGTGGCATCGCGCCGCCGCCGGTCGCCCGCGCTCCTCCGGCGGCCCCGGCTGCGCCGCCTCCCGGGTCCTGGGGTCCCTGGCTCTGCAACCCGAACCGCCGCGCCCCCCGAGCCCCTCGCGCTCAGGCTGGGCCGTCCGCCGCCGCCGCCGCCGCCGCCGCCGCGGCACTAGCACTTCGGCTCCCTCCGTCACCAGGCGCCGCCGCGCCCATTGGCTACCTGCGCGGGGGCGGAGCCGGAGAAGCCCCGCCCCAGCCCCCGCGGCGCGGCATTCCCAGCGCCGACCCCCTCCCCTATCGTCGGCCCCGCCCCCGCCGAGAGCCCCCAGCCCGCGCTCGGCTCCGCCCGAGAGGCCCTGCTGGCTCCTCCCTCCCAGCGGTGTCCCCTGCGCACATCACGCTGGAGCCACCGTTCTCCCCCGCTCAGCTCATTTGGAATCCCAGCCCAGATGTTCCTTCTCCTCCCAACGGGAGGGAAGCCCCCTATCTCCGCCCCCAGCACACACACTCTCACTGGGTTCCTGGGCCCGATCTAGGCTGAGGCTTGGAAGGAGCCTGGGACCTGCCCCCCTCAGGCCCTCACCTCACCAAGCCCTGGAAATCCCCTGTCCTCTACTAATTTCTACCTCACACCGAAGCTAACACTATGCTCCAGGCCCAGACAGGCTCCAGCAGTTCTGTTACCACCATCAGGACCCACAGCGCCACCACAGTGATTGACTGTTTGATCGATTGATTATATATATATATATATAATATGTGTACATATATAAATATTATATATGTTATTATATATACATATATAAATATTACATATATATGTATGTATGTATACAGTGAGAGAGAGTGAGACGAAGTTTCGCTGTGTTCCCCTGGCCGATCTTAAACTCCTGGGCTCAAGCAATCCTCCTGCCTCGGCCTCCCAAAGTGCTGTGATTACAGGCATAAGCCACCGTGCCTGGCCAAGAGTGATTTCTTAATATGCGTTTTTGCAATCTGTGCTCTGCCCTATCACTTGATGGGGATCCTTTCAGGCCAGGTCTCCCTGAAGTCACCTGCAGCCCCAGCTCTGGACTGGTTTGGGTCTGCGACTCTCTGAGGAGGGATCAGGCTCCCAGGATAAACCAAGGCTTGATGGGACTTGGAGTGAAAGGCCAGGGAGACTGGTTCCCCAGGAGAGATTTAGCCTCCACCTAAAGAGCCTTGGGGATCCAGGTGTGGTGAGATGTAGTCAGGTGTGAGGAGCCAGCTTGCTGGAGGGACAAGCTTGCTGGTTTTGCAGACAGGAAGACTGGTCAGTTATTTGCAGAGCTGTTCTAAGGCAGGGGGATGGGAAGGAATGTTTATCAAAAGCTTCCTGCGAGCCATGTGATTTCCTTGAGTGATTATCACCACCTAGTTTACAAATCATGAAACAGGCTCAGAAAGATGAAGTGACTTACCCAAGGTCACATAAGAGGTTGAGAACAGACTAGGGCTTAAAAAATCCAAGTTAAGAATAAGGATTTCTCCTGATCCACATGCTCCTCCTTTTCCATGGCTTTCCCAAAGTCCTTTCCACTTGAAATTCAGTTCAACCTCAGCTGTTGAACTGAATTTCTAGTGGAAAGGACTTTGGAACCCAAGAAATACGGGTTTGAATTCCAGCTCTGCTACCTCCTTAACATTGGGAAACTCATTTTATGGCTCTAAACCTCAATTTCTCCATCTGTAAAATTGGAATTATAATCTCAGTCTTTCAGGTATATAGTGAGGACAAGATTCATTTTAATTCAATAAATTATTTACAGATACATACATACATACACATATATATACACATACACACACACACACACACACACACACACACACATATATATATATATATATATATTTTTTTTTTTAGGTCTCACTCTGTTGCCCAGGCTACAGTGAGATCATAGCTCACTGCAGCCTTGAACTCTTGGGCTCAAGCGATCCTCCCACCTTCTACAAGTAGCTGGCACTTCAGGTGTGTGCCACCATGCCCAGCCAATTTTTTGTATGTTTTGTTTTTGTAGAGATGTGGTCTCACTATCTTGCCCAGGCTGGTCTTAAACTCCTGGCCTCAAGTGATCCACCTGCCTCCCAAAATGCTGGAATTACAGGTGTGAGCCACCACACCTGGCTTATTTATGGCTGTATATTACACATCAGACCCTCTTCCTGAGCATGTATTGTAAGCCAACACTCCTTTTTATTATTACTATTGAGATAGAAGAGTCTCACTCTGTCACCAGACACCAGTACAGTGGCACAATCTTGGCTCACTGCGACCTCTGCCATCTGGGTTCAAGCGATTCACCTGCCTCAGCCTCCTGAGTAGCTGGGATTACAGATGCATGCAACCATGCCCAGCTAACTTTTGTATTTTTAGTAGAAACAGGGTTTCACCATGTTGGCCAGGATGTTCTCAATCTCTTGACCTCATGATCCACCCACCTCTGCCTCCCAAAGTGCTGGGACTACAGGCATGAGCCACCGCGCCTGGCCTTCTCTTTTCTTGTCTAAAATAGCTTCACTTGGTCAGGCATGGGGGCTCACACCTGTAATCCCAGCACTTTGGGAGGCTGAGGCAGGTGGATGGATCACTTGAGCCCAGGAGTTTGAGACCAGCCTGGCTAACATGGTGAAACCCGTCTCAACCAAAATACAAAAATCATCTGGGTGTGGTGGCGTGTGTGCCTGTAGTTCCAGCTTCTTGGGAGGCTGAAGCAGGAGAATCACTTGAACCCAAGAGGTGGAGGCTGCAGTGAGCTAAGATCGGGCCACTGTACTCCAGCCAGGGTGACAGAGTGTGAGACTGTCTCAAAAAAAAAAACAAAAAACTGCTCCCCATCAGTGCTATAACCTATGTTATCTTTTTATTTTTCATGGCATGCCTCTCTACTAACAATCCTGCTGTATATTTGACCCCATCTTTACAAAAAATTTAAAAATAGCTGGGCATGGTGGCATGACCCTGTAGTCCCAGCTACTCAGGTGGCTGAGGCAGGAGAATCACTTGAACCCAGGAGGCAGAGACCAAAGCCTGATTTCTGGTCCTTGGAAACTTTCTTTATTGCCACCTAGAGTAACCAAGGGATTTAAATCTGAGAAAAGAATAAAAACTGCGGCCGGATGGCTTTCTTTTCTTTCTTTCTTGAGACAGAGTCTTGTTTTGTCGCCAGGTGCCAGGCTGGAGTGCAGTAGCGTGATCTTGGCTCACTGCAACTCCACCTCCTGGGTTCAAGCAATTCTCCTGCCTCAGCCTCCCAAGTAGCTGGGACTAACGGCACGCTCCACCACGCCCAGCTAATTTTTGTATTTTTTGGTAGAGGCGGGGTTTCACCACATTGGCCAGGTTGGTCTCTCTCTTTTTTTTTTTTTTAAAGATGGGATTTCACCATGATGGCCAGGCTGGTCTTGAACTCCTGACCTCAGGTGATCCACCCACCTTGGCCTCCCAAAGTGCTAGGATTACGGGCATGAGCCACCGCGCCCAGCGAGGATGGTCTCGATCTCTTGACCTCGTGATCTGCCCGCCTCGGCCTCCCAAAGTGCTGGGATTACAGGCGTGAGCCACTGCGCCCGGCTGGCTGGATGGCTTACTTTAGCTAGTAGCCTGTTTGTTTCTTCCACTAGAACAAAGCTCCGTGAGGCAGGACTTGTCTATTTTGCTTATTGCTATTTCTCTGGATACATCTGACATATCGTAGGCCCTCAAAATATACTTGTGAATGGAGCCACACCAACCCGGGCTCTAATCCAGGTCCGGCTACCTCCTAGCTGTGTGACTCTCAGTATTTCAGTTAACCCCTCTGAGCCTCAGCTTGTGCCTTGGAAAACTAGAGATGGTTATGAGCATTAACTGAGATCAGGCAATAAAATACCTGTGCAGTGCCTGGCACATGATAGGTGCTCCATAGAAATGGTAAGTGACAATCACAGACTTCCTTCCTTGCCTCCAAATTCTTCCCCGGCAAAGAAGGGGGACAGCCAGAGACTGGGGCCTGGAGTTCACTGAGTGGGTTCTGCATTTGTGTGCAGTGAAGACATGAGGCCTCAGCCTGGAGGAACTCCCCAGACTGTGATCAGGGGCCAGTAGAGAATGAAGCCGAAGCGGGAGTGGCCAGGCCTAGCCAACATGGTGAAACCCCATCTCTACTAAAAATACAAAAATTAGCCTGGCGTGGTGGTTCACACCTTTAGTCCCAACTACTTGGCAGGCTGAGCAAGAGAATTGCTTGAACCCGGGAGGTGGAGATTGCAGTGAGCCGAGATCATGCCACTGCACTCCAGCCTGGGCCACAGAGTGAGACTCCATTGCAAACAAAAAGAAGGAGCAGTCAGAGAGGAAGAGGAGGAACAGAAGCATGCAGGTGGGATGGTCCAGGACTGCAGAGGGTCAAAGAGAGCAAGGCAAAGAATTGGGCAGTGAGCTCCTCCATAGAGCAGTGCCACTGACCTGGAGCCTGGGGATGAGGCCGACTTTGATTGCTGTCATTAGAGAGGATAGGAGGTGACAGCAAAGGTGACATCGTAGTAGGAAAAGTTGGGGATGGAATTGGAGTTAAAAGGGGCAGAAGAGGGAGCAGCTGGTCGCCTGCAAATAGTTACTGGGCACTGGCTGCATGCCAGGCACTGTTCTAGGCACTGGGAATACAGCAGAGGAGAAGACAGAGTCTCTGCCCTCTAGGATAGAGGCCCACGAACTGTGGCCCACACAACAAATCTGGCCTACTATGTTTGTATGCTTGCAGGCTAAGAATGGTTTTTAGATTTTTAAATCATTTTAAATGTCAAAAGAAGAATATTTCATGACATGTGAAAGTTATATGAAATTCAGATTGTAGTATCCATAAATAAAGTTTTATTGGAACACAGCCACGCTCCGTTTACGTATCGTCTATGGCTGCTTTCTCACTACAACAGCAGAGTTGAGTGGTTGCAACAGAGACCATATGGCCCGAAAAGCCTAAAATATTTACTAGCTGGTTCTTTAGAAAAAGAGGTTTGTTGACCCCTACTCTAGAAAGTTACATTCTCTGGCTAGACATGGTGGCTCATGCCTGTAATTTCTGCAGTTTGGGAGATTGAGGCAGGTAGATTGCTTGAGCCCAGGAGTTCGAGACCAGCCTGGGCAACATAGTGAGACCCCATCTCTACAAAAAATACAA